TTAAATAAATATATTCTAATCAATAATGTGAAAATATAATGTAACATAAACCTTAAAATGAAATATGATACTTGTATTTACATTCTTTAACTAAAATACTGTAACTTATAAAATTTGTAAGAAATTTCTATTACAGTCACTTCATGTTTACGAAATATTAAATATTGTCCTAAAGGTAAAGTTGTTCTAAGAACGTTAAATGAATTTCTTAGATAATTTGCAATAAACTCGACTCATTTATGAGTTATAGATACTCTTTAAATGTTAGCTTAAAGACATTAATTCTATACAATTTTTGAAGATAAGACCAAATTCTTTATATGCCATACAAATATTTAAGTACATGAAATCAATTGCATATTACATCTATTAACTGCGTATAGAAAGATTTGAATTTATTTTACAAAAATGATTATGCTAAGTACATTTTGCCATAAATTTTATATATTACATAGTAATATTTTATACCTTGTATATTATTAATATATAATTTTCTTAAATAATTTGGCAATAATACAATAGCACAGGTGTAGTAGAATAAGATAATATTTATAATATATGTATCATAAGTTTTATTTACATTTAATTATGGATGTTAATGTCACATAAAGTTAGAAAAAATAATTTAAATAATAATTTGTACTACTTCATCGCGAAGTTTACAACAACAAAAAACATGTATTACATTAAATGACGAAAATGCACTTTCCAATAAGTTCAAAAAGTTACACAACATCTTTGGTCCATAATTGTGCACGTAATACATGTTTAGAAGATACATACATTTTTAGTAGTCCATGCTCGTTGTATTATGTGAACTAATTTCGACTTAGCAAAAATTGCAAATTGTTGAAAAATATTCTCGTCGGTATTTTGATTACTTACAGTTAAAATAATTTGTAGAGGATTTAAGTTTTTTTCAAATGTGCAGACAAAGTCTAAATTTATTCTATTCACAGATTTTTCTTTTTCTTGATTTTCTATTACTTGATCAGATATGAGTGCTTCCTTTTCTAAGCAACTTATACTAGGATCTAATATAATGCCTTTAATTTTCCTATTACGCCATACACAGTGAGAACCATTGCAATGAAGTATAATTTTTTCATACTTTTCAGTATGCACATCTGATATATCAATTCTTTGTTGCTTTGATTCCACATCAGCAGTTAAAAATGCAACTTGTACTTTAAAAACTTTTTCAAAAATATCTTTCACCATATTGAAAGCTGTAAAATACCAATCACTGTTCGTGAGTTTTGGCTTTTTTGAAAAAATTATACATGTTTTCTGATTTGCAGAAATTGTAATTTTACATATGTTATCAGCAGCTTTTCTTTTTACGATTGTACTAAGAAGAAGTTTTAGTAAATTTTTATAATCATTTTTACTCGTCTCTGTACATATCGCAGCACCATTCGCACAATATTGAATGAAAGTATCCAGTGTTGAAAATGGTGTGCCTCCTGTAACATTATGATTAAGTTCAATAGGGTCTTGGACACACATGTCTCTATTTATTTTCAGTTTAAAATTCTCATCCTCCGTGAAACATGGTTTATACCTATCCATATATGGTGGCAAACTGTCCACATCTTTAAATTCTAATTCTGTATGTATCTTTCCATCTAATGGGCAAATTATTTGAGATTTATATTTAAAAGTTGTATAAAATGAAAAGAAACCATAAAGAAGTTCTGGAATGCTGCTATTATTTGTAATTGGTGGTAATTTTGTATTTTTATCAAAATTAACCTGCCATCCGTTTATAATTTGTGGTCGACAAGTTTTTTGAAGCTCCAATAGTGGAGGAATAATTTTTACCGATGGCTGTTGAAGATAAAAAATAATCAACAAAACCAAAGCATAATTAGACATTTTTCCAGAGCCCGATATTTTAAAATTTCTTGCCCAATACTTAATAAGCATCATTAACGGCTTTACCCTACTATCAAGAGAAATGTAATATTTTATTAGATTACTTTTATAAATACTTAAACTATTTTTAAATGATATGTCGCAAGAAATATTTTTTTTAACATAACAGAATTTGATAATTGGTGTTTTAGCTTTCGGAATTGATATTATGTTAGAAAAAACACAAGACATTCTAAACATAATTCTTCTAACTTCCTTAAAAATTTTCTGCATAGTCCACATATTTGTTGATGCATTTGTAGATTCAATTATTGGTTCACCTGAAATAAAAATAATTACTATAGTATTCTAATACTGACATAAAAATAATAAAATTTAAAGCAATTTTGAAAATTACCAATATCCATGTATATGTCCAAATCACATTCTTTAAACCCCAAGCCTGTTTGAGTTGATCCAAATTTATATGTTTTACACTTTGGAAATACAACCTTAAATATCTTATCCAAGTGACTACAAACAGATTCATATCTTGTTTCAATTTCGGCATCGGTAAGTTGAATTGTATTTAAAAATGTCACTAACTGGTTATGAAATGTAGTATCTTTCTCGAATATATGTTTCACATTATTATAACATATTGCGCCCGTATTTTCTATTGGACTATTTGCTTTTTTTGTTTCTGGATTCTTTGGATCTTAAAGAAAAAAAGCGATTATTATATTACAAAAATGATCATAAAACTCTTAATTATAATAATTATTTTAGTAACACCTGCTTTTTAGATTGCTTAAACAATACAGGAATGAATCGTGTACAAATAAAAATAAAAATTGTTAAACTTATTTGATAACGATATTAAAGTATTGTTCACATATTCTGAATAAAATATTATATTTACTATTATAAGCTTCATGCTTACAAATTTTACGTAACCGAAATATATAAGATATGTTTCCATGATAGCTATCCAAAGTACTGAACAATGAGTAGTATACATACTTATTATGTGTTTTTTAATATTACTTACTCCTATGAAATATTCTTCTCTTTATATTGAGTTTTACATTATATATCCAAACTGGATTACTTAAAACAGCTTCAGTGGAGGTTCTAATACCAAAAATTTTATTATAAGTATGAATAAAAATTTATAACAAAAGTTAAAATAACTATATAACTATTAAACATATAAAACATATTTTATTACCTATCTGCAAATTCAATAAAAAGATAACTTTCATTAATCTCATGCCCTTTGATGGCACCATATTTTTTAAAAAACTCAATAAGTGCATGTGGAGAAATAAATTTTGGTAATGGTGATATGAATATTGATCTTTCTATCGCTTCTAATTGTTGAACCTTTTGTAAGTGTCTTTTACCACCAAGGTGACCTTGTAAAGAATACTCATCTTGAAAGTGCATTGAACACACATCACATTTTTGTGACATCATGTACTTAAATGTTGATGATATTCTCCAATACTGATTTAAATAAATTTCATTTCATTCTTTCTTTTTGTTGACATTATCCATTAGGAATGAACTATAGGGTATATATAAACATTTTTCTCATATTCTTTTTAACTTGCAATTACTTATACAAAGATTTTTACATCTTTAAAATATTAATTTCATCTGGAATAAAAGAAAAAATTAATTTTTATAAATAAATTTCCATTTGTTATGTACATTACATTTTAAAACAAAACTGTTGATAATTAATTGCAATTAATCCTAAAACATTCTTATTGTTTTCAATATTATTTATACAAAAAATTTGTTCAATATTTACCATTTTTTTAAATCACTTTTACTATAAAGAATAGTATATTTACAGAAGCACATTGAACACTTGCTTTTTTCAAATCCTTAAAATCTTCTTCAACAGAGTGAGATAATAAATATCATGTGTTTTTTCATTTTAATGTCATATCTTTTAACCTGTAAACAATACACAACTAAACATATATTTCTCATTTTCAAATGTGTTGGCACGGAATAAAGTATAATTTTAAGTCATTTGTTAATAAAAGACATATTTGTGTTGAAAATTAGAATTATACATCAAAATAAATTAAACTCTATATAATGAAAATATTCACTTACGTTTTTATAAATAATAACTGAAGATTTATCCCACACTAACCTAAGAGTTATTTCCGCTGCTTATAATTCTACGTTTTAGTTAGTTTTAGTCACGAAGCATTATTATAGAAGTGAAACTACTATTGAAATTTTTGATATTAGTATCCCTAAATCAGCCTCTAAAAGTATTCTTAAGTTGTTAGCCGTGGAACACTAAATTGTTATGCTCAATCATATGAATGTTTAAATGACATGTAATTTGAAAAATATGACGTTCATTTCGAAATTGGAAATTGATTTTATTATGTACTACAACAAGGGTGTCTAAACGAATGCCTATGGCCATCATAGTGGCACTTCTTTCACAAGAAGTTACCCTCTCCATACCTACCGTTCGTTGTTTGAAAGAAGACCACCGGAACGGCACAGGGGTAAGAAGGGTCTTTCGCTATGGTACGTTACGTGCATGACGGTATGCGACGGAGCTACTGTGTATGTAACTGTTTTGACCAATCGCACACTAGACCGAAAACACACCAAATTCTACACTCAGATCCTGCATTCCTTTCAGGGATCTTCTTTCAACAACGGGATATGCTTTTCCTTGCGTATTGAACACATACACAATCTCGGGGGCAAACTTGCAGGTTGCATTGCTGGGTCTTTACAAATTACATGTCTCCACTTTTTATTGATCAACGTATGAAGGAGGAAAGAAATATTGTACATTGTTTTCAGTTATTATTTTTATTCAACGCATAAATCATACACAAATATATGCAAAATTTGCCCTTACCATTTGCTATAAATAACTATGATTTAATTAAAGAATAAGAAACAAGTAAATAAGGGAAGTTATACGTATTCGCAACCTTCATTCTAATTAAAAAATATATAAAACTTTGATAATTTTATATTTATTAAATATGCGATTATATGTCATGATTAAGTAGATTATTTTCACACTACAGAGGCTATAATATTAAGCTTACATTAATAACGTAAATTTCCAAATAGAAACCATGCAAAACTACTAAAGTTATAGTAAATGATTTAAATACTGAATTTTGATATAATTTTATTATACCGTGTAAATGTATTTAAACTTATATTACAGAGTATTTTATAAAATATTTTATTATTTTACTG